TGACCCTGCAGTTTCACTTCTAGGAATCTATGCTATGGTAATACTCATAGAAATATATAGTGCAGCATTGTTAGTAATATAAAAAAATTGTAAACAATTTAAATGTAACTCAGTTGGGAAATGATTGAATAAATTATGGTCTATCCATAATATGGAATAACTACTATGCAGCTATTGAAAAGAATGAGGTAAATCTCTATGTACTGACATGGATGGGTTTCCATGACATACCAGAGTATAGAAAAAAGTAGGTACATGTTGACCCTTGAACAATGCAGGGGTTAGGGACATATAACTTTTGACTCTCACCAAATTTAACTAATAGCCTTACTGATAACATAAATAGTCAATAAACACATGTTTTGTATGTTATATGTTTTATATACTGCATTCTTACAATAAAGTGAACTAGAGTAAAGGTTATTAAGAAATCATAAGGAAGACAAAACACACATATAGTATTCATTGAAAAAAACTGTGCAAGTGGACCTGTGCAGTTCAAACCTGTATTGTTCAAGTCCAACTATATATGGAAGTAAGTCTGGAAGGATGCATACGAAAAATACTAACTCATTACTTCTGGGTAGTGGGATGGGGAAATGATACAGGAGTTTCTAAAGAAAAAAGTTAAAGATTTGTAAAAATCATGTGCTACTTTTATAATTAAAAAATTGTAAACTCATTAACTTTCTTTGCAGGCACATTGGACAGAGGCCTGTTTAGCACTTTCCTTTCCTGTGGGATTTGCAATTATATTGTCAGGGTTGTTTTTGTTTTTTTTTTTGAGAGGGTAGGGCAACCCTCTTGTCCTACTTTTTGAGACACAATGTACTTATCTTTTCTCTGAATAAAACAAAACTCAATTTTGTAAGCCAAGACCAGCAGTTTCAAGCTTTATTGGGCATCAGAATCACCATGTTTAATAAGTATTGATGCTTGGTAAAAATGCAGATTCCTGAGCCTGCTCAGTAAGTTTTGAGTCAGTGTCTGTGGTAGAGTCCAAGAGGCACCCCAATTGGTCAGCGAGAAACCCTGTGTTTGGGGAAATGACCACTAATTGTGCCCCCTCCCTCTCATTATTCTCTGTGATAAGCAAAGGGGATGAGGGATGCGATGATTCACCATGGACATCTTTGTGGGTCACAAATGGTTGGGTTCATCTGAATGGGAAAAATAAAACACAGTTAAGTAGTCAAGATTTTAGTAATAAGTGTTGTTTTAAAGTACCATATTTGAAGTGGGCCCTTTGAGTTGAGGCTGGTCTGGTGGGCTTCCTTGGCAGTGACTTTCACACCTTGGCAAATTGTGAGGCCTTAGAATTCAGATGATTTTTTAAGCAATGTAAGAGAAACATTGATCAGTTGCCTCCCACATACGTCCTGACTGTGTATCCAACCCACAACCCAGGCATGTGCCCTGACCAAGGAATCAAACTGCAACCTTTTTGGTGTACTGGACCCAGCTCCAACCAGCTGAGCCACCTGGACAGGCTGAATTCAAATTATTCTTTTAATATGCTGTTATTGATTTCAAAGAGGAAGGGAGAGGGAGAGAGAGATAGAAACATCCATGATGAGAGAGAGAATCTTCCATCGCCTGCCTCCCACATGCCCCCTACTGGGAATGGAGCCAGCAACCCAGGCACGTGCCCTGACTGGGAATCAAACCTTGACCTCCTGGTTCATGGGTTGACACTCAGCCACTGAGCCACACTGGCCAGGTGAAATTCAGATAATTTTTAAGTGAAGCTTCTGTTCTTGGAAATGGTGCCTCTAAATCAGGGGTCCTCAAACCTTTTAAACAGGGGGCCAGTTCACTGTCCCTCAGACCGTTGGAGGGCCAGACTATAGTTTAAAAAAAAACTATGAACAAATTCCTATGCACCCTGCACATATCTTATTTTGAAGTAAAAAAACAAAACGGGAACAAATACAATATTTGTATTTGCATGTGGCCCGTGGGCCATAGTTTGAGGACCCCTGCTCTAAATATTAAGATGAGGTACTATCTATCTTAAGACTATTTTAAACAGTTTTTTATGTTAGAATTGTTTTTTTCCCTTTATTATAAACAAAGTCTCTTAATCAGATGCCCACTGTGGGTTATTAACATCTCAGAGGGATGTTTAGAAAACATCCCAATTGCTCCCAACAGTTAACCCTGGTAAGGAAGTAAATGGGAATACTTCTTAACTACCTTTCCAAGCCCTCAGTGAAGCTGGCAGCCATAAGTTAAATAAACCATTAGGTTTATTAGTTTGAGAACAGAAGTGTCGACTTGGGCAGTTTTCTAATTTGCTCATTTACCCAACAATCATTTATTCAGAGGCTACTCTGTGCCTACTAGACGTTAGATAACTCTACAAATAAAAGTCGAGACCATCTGAAACTCAAGGGGATCATCTGAATAGGAAAAAATGAATAAAACACAATTTAATAGACTTGAAAGCTTAGTAGCAAGTAGAAAACAGAAAGTGGATTCCTTAAAGCAATAGCCTTGTTCTCTTTCTGTAGTCTATTTTAAGTGGGCCCTCTGGCCCAGTATTATCAACCTTGGATTAGCAGCTTTGAGGAAATGGTGGTTTGGTGGTTGTTGCTTTTTTTTAAAGGATTTTTTAAGTAATGTAGTTAC